CTCGTGTTGAAAATCTCTCAACACTTATATTAACTCATTTTCGACGGAAGTTGATTTGTTGATTTTTAATAAAATATAACGAAAAAAAACTATATTCATAAATCAGATACTCAAAATTCTATTTGTCAAGTAATTATAATTCGCTTCATCTTATCGTTCTTTATTCGTCTACACAATCAATCTTCGAGTTGTGTTGCCATTGGCAGCTTGATCTACTATATTGCTAGAGTACAAGCACTAAAACTGTGCAGCATTATTACCACAAAATACTGCTAAATTATGCTAATTCTATTGCTTTCTCTATTGTTTAATTAACACTATTTTGTAGTGAATAGTGGAAAGTGTTGCACACAATTAAGGTTTGTACTCTATTGGAGCCCGCTATTAGCTGTTACCTAATTTTTATATTAACCACGTCGTCCATGGGTATTTATRGGGTTTCTCATGGAAATTAATGGCTACAGTACGATGACTGGTGTAAAGGTTGAAAATTGTGTTKTAGCACATAAACTGTAAACTGTAATGGCACTGAATATGTGAGCCTTTCTGTTGCATCATCTCGCGTTGAAATGTTATTCTTGGCAAGAAAAATAGTCTTTAAAAGAATGAAATCGATTCATTTTCATATTGRATCTCACATTGCCACTAGCACATGTTTTATTTTGACAGGTGTCCGAATTCATAAAAGGCAAAGAAAAATGACTAGTGATTCGAACACTTTATCGCCTTCAAAAAACACGTTGACGCAACAACTCGAAGAATTTTCTGGCTACACTACRTTACATGGTCTTCACTTTGTCTTTGGATCTGACGGTGCAGTTCGTCGGCTTGTCTGGTTTGTCTTAGTCCTCGCTGGTTTGGGCTTTTGYATAAAGCAATTAATTGTAAGCTTTGACAGGCTTCGCGATCATGAAAGTGTTATCAGCAAAGCTATCATTCCTTCAAGACAACTCACCTTTCCTGCAGTCACCATATGCAATATAAACATGATGAAGAAGTCCTTAATTGAAGGCAAAGATGCACAAGTCTACATGGATAACCTGAATACTTTGCGCAGCATAGAAATTCACCCGAAGAAAACACTGGATAGAAATTTCGACCTTAAGAAAGCTGTGGAGAAATATGGTCATACAGCACAAGACATGATAAGGACGTGCAATTGGAATGGCAAAAACTGCAGCTATCTCAACTTTACTACATCATTTTCACATCGGGTAAGTCCTAGGCACCACTAATACTAAAACGTGTTTGAYTCGAGTGATTTCTTGTTTTAAAAGAATCAACAAACTACGACGACGCTCCGATTGATTTATCGGGAGACTGTCCAGGGCAAAATCAAGCAAAATGATGAATTATTGTCTGGAACCAGCTCACCACAGTGTCAGCTGTTTTCTAGATTTTATTGAGAAACAAAATATTTTCATTTTTTTGCGAATTCGTTTTTTTGCGAATTCGATAAAATCACTATATATAATCACTAATCAAATGGAAAAATACACAAAAAACTCATAAAAACATCACARTTTATAATTTATAAAATACTATTATTAAATACCTGCATAATAGCATAATACATTTAAAAGCTTGTCAAGTTTTTATCTTCGTTTGTAAACAAGAATGAAGGCAGCCGCCGGTTGCGATAACCTCGCTTCTTAAGGAGAAATGCAGCGACTATGTTATTCTCATGTCATTTTTTCTCGAAAATATTACATTTTTCTGTATTTGAGTTTTCCCAGCTATACGCTTTCTTTCTAAAGTAAACATGAAGAAGGYSTGGTGCTTAACAAGTACTACGCACTTCACYTGYTCTTCCAAATGAGACTCAAAATCAGAATTTAAACTTGTTTTCAATTCTTTATTAACAACWCCTCAAAGTCTTCATTTCTTATCGAGATAAGAGTGGAAAACTGSGGAAGGTTTAAGAATTGAGGTCTTAGTTAGACTGCAAGCTTGCCGTCCGTTGACCATCGTTGCAATCTCGCACTGTAAAACCGGTTTGAACCTGTTTGTCAGTAAAAATACTGAAAARCCATTCGAGTGGTACAAAACAAAAATGTTGATTGCTTTTTAGTAAAGACAAAGTAACATTTTTATTGCCAAAATAATTAAC